AAGAAGAAATATAATTTATCACTATAAAGTAGAAAAATTAATACTCACCTTACTTTAAATGAGTTGCTTTAGCCCTATTAATCCCTAAATCCCCCCCCCCTCTCGTTTTGTATCTATAATCAATTTTTTATAATGATTTCTTTATTTTTTTTTCTTAATTATACGTTTCTCTTTACCATATTTCTTACCTATTTTGACTTCAAACATTTTATAAATTTAAAATCTTATTTTATTATATGATAATTTGTTCTAATTGAAAAAATGCTAATCTTATTTAATTTTGTTTATAAATAATGTAATAAAATATTTTGAAATGCATTCATTTCATCTAATTTTCTCTTATCTTTATTTTTATTTAAATATCTAATTTAATGTGTATTAAATTATTACTGTTGAATTAATATTCAAATATTTACCCTTATTATTCATATATATATACTATTCTCCTTACTCCTTCCTCTTTTTCTCTGTCTTCTTCTTCTAAAAAAACCCTGAAAGCTTATTTGGTTTCAAAACGTGATTTAGAAAACACATAGTGAGAAAGAAAACGTTTCTCTTACCTGAGGAAGGATAAGAAAGAAAAATCTTAGTGTTCTTTGTCGAAATTTTCTCCTTCTAACATCGTCGAAGTCTTCTCAGTTGCTCGACTAGATGATCCAACTTGCTTGTACAGACGGCCTCAACTCCCACACGAACATTCCCTCGCTCGCCTTCGCTCCCGCTCACGCTTGGTTGCTTTCGTGCTTTCTTGGCCGCTTGCGCTCACTCATTCTTTGTTCTGCCCCTCTTATTCTTGTATTTATCACTTTATTTCTCTCTATCTCATACTCACTCCATTTCTCTCACTCTCTTAAATAGAGTTGTAGACTTTGATTAATCGATCGACTTTTGTGGGGTCATGTTTCTTTTAGAATAAGTATATATATATATATATATATATATATATATAGAAATAATAAGTCATTTAATTAGTGTTTGTGCTTACAATGATTAATGTTAGGATGTTGAGAGTTGGGTGTCGATGTCTTGTGTAAATATTGAGATGAGAGATAAATATGCTGTTGATAGTCAGACATCGATATTTTGTAATGAGTGTCAGGCCTTGATGTTGAGATTGTGTCAGTCGTCGATGTCGTGACAACATCGGTCATTGATGTTGGATAAAGATAAGATGTTGAGATGACATAAGGGCATGATTGTGTGTGTAAAAATTGTTAGTGTCGAGCACCAATGTCAGATAAAAATGAAAATGGAAATATTCGAGGAATTGGGATGTTAAGTGCGGGCGATTAATTTAGGATTGTGGAGAAATAAGAAATTTAATTTTTATTATTTTAATAAAAAATATGGAATATAAGAAATTATATTTAAACAAAATCATAAAATATTTAATACATGAGTGTCTAATTTATTTTTAATATTTTTTTTTTAATTTGACATGTATTTGACGTGTCCGACACGTGTCAGGCGTGTGTCATGTTTGATACATATCGGACGTTGCATACTTCTTTGAGAAGAAGTGTTTGTGCATCATAGCATCAGAATCCACTTATGTGCATCATAGCATTAAAATCCTAAAGGTCCCAAAGCATAACCCTTTTGCCCGCTTATCCTGCAACTCCGCGTTTGTGAGGCGCTTGAAATTACTTCCAGGACGAACTCCAGTGCCTTTCAGAGGGAAGCTCCCTTCGGCGCTTCCCTCTGGAATGACGTCGTCTGGGTCTTAGCGCCATGGTCGTAGAGGTACTCTTGTGAGGCCCTCTTGTGGTGTTGCTCCGGCTGGCCTTCTCACTTTGATATTTTTCTTTCACCCTCTGAGTTAGCTCCATCGTTTCCCTCAACCCTCTGGGTCTCAACACCATGAGCTCTGCTCGTATCTCTTCCTTAAGGTCCTTCATGAAATTTCCTTCCAACCCTTCCTCGAAAATCCCCCTTAGCCTACCTGACATTCTAACAAACAATCCTTAAATTCCCCCATGAATAGATCGGATACCTAGCCTCGCTCCACTGAAACTAAACTAGGGATTTTCCCTCCAAACATAGCACCGCCTCTATGAGCTTCTCCCTTTCCGTCAGCCATTGATAGCAAAATAACGCTTCACCTGATACACCCAACCCCGAGCACATTATTGGAGAGATAGATCGGCTCTCCCACACCTAGGTGCAGCTAGGAACCCAAATTACACAAACTCCTCTCCAAAAACAGCAATCACACATACATGACTTAAAGAAAATAGCCATATTATACCCCACTCAGCACATCCTTCTATGGTAGGTAATTAAAGGTTTGGAGGGTCCCAAGTGTGATTTTTCATGTTCCAAGGGCGACTTTTCATATCCCAAGGGTTAATTTTCATATTCTGAGGATGGCTTTTCTTATCCTAAGGGTGGCTTTTCATGTCGCGAGGATGACTTTTCATATCTCAAGGGGGGTGGGCCCAAGTGTGCTAATCCCATAATAATATCGAGACAACAAGGGGACGTGATTGTGAGTGTGGAAATTATTAGTGTTGAGCATCAATGTCAAGACCTCGTTAAACGTTGATGTTGAGATGATTTTGAAACATTGATGTTGGATGGCATCATATGTCAATGTTAAGATGACATCAAGCGTTATCGTGAAACCCTAGCTGTGACCGACCAGATAAAAATGAAAATGGAAATGTTCGGGGAATTGGGATGTTGAGTGTGAGCGATTGATTTGAGGTTATGGAGAGGAAATACAAAATTTAATTTTTATTTTTTAAAATAAAAATGAAATATAAGAAATTATATTTAAAAAAATCTTAAAATATTTAAGAATTGTGTCTAATTTATTTTTAATATATATATATATTTAATTTGACATATGTTAAAGGTGTGTCAAACATGTGTCGTGTTGATGCATGTTGGACATTACATACCTCTTTGAGAAGAAATACCCGTGCATCATAGCATAGAATCTACTTCATCATCGTCGGTGTTATCCCCACTATTTTGAGTTGTCTTATGCAGAACCCTCTTGAACAACGTAAATAGAAATAAGCACAAGAGGCATAAAAAAAGGTGGAGTGGTTGACTGAAGGGGAAGTGTGATGTGCTTTAATGGAAACTTTGCCATCCTTTTATAAAGTATTGTGTATCAACTACATAGAAGGCTGAAGATGTTGGCACTATTTACTCATACAACAAAGACATGAACATCAGGCCTTTATCTCATTACATGGGGTCGGCTACATGAATCATTTTTCTCCGTTGTTCTGTTAAGAGTTAAATTCTCATTTAAATCTAATAAAAAAAGATCATTTCCAATATTATATAACTTAGTCCTTTTAGGTCTATCTTTACCTTTCTTAACATAGGCCAAATATAATACATCTACTCTTCTAACTAGGTCATCGAAAGGTCAATGTTTTATGTGACCAAATCATCTAAGATGGCTCTCTCTAATCTTATCTGTCATTGGATCTACTTCAACCTTTTTACATAATGCTCGTTTCACACTCTATCTCTAAGACTGAAGCCACTCATCCATTTGAGAACCTTCATCTCTACAACACTTAACTTAATATTATACTTCTTTTTTAATGGCCAACATTATGTGCCATAAAATATTGCAGGTCTCACCACCATCTTATAAAATTTTCCCTTAAGTTTGAGGGGTACTTTTCTATCACACAATAGGCCTGATGCATTCCTCCACTTCAACAATCCAACTTGAATTCCACTAAAAATATCTCCCTCTATTTCACCATCACTTTAGATCCGAGATATCTAAAACATATACTCTTATTAATAAGTTGATCGCCCAAAGTCACAATCCTCCCACTAGATCTATTACTAATAAAATTATGCTATGTATTCGGTTTTAGATCTGTTCAAATGAAAACCTTTAAACTTTTAAGGTTGACCTCCATAATTCAAGTTTATCTTCCTCTCTAGTCTTATAAAAAAGAAGAATATAATCTATAAAAAAAAGAATACACTATGGTACATCCTCTTGCGAATGTCTAGTGAGAACACCCTTGACTAAGCAAAAAAGATATGGCTTAAAGCTGATCCTTGACGTAATTTAACTGAAATAAGAAAATACTTAGTCAAATCACCTTGTGTTTGAACACAACAGCTCCTACGTACATATCCTTAATGACTTGAATATAAACATTATTAACCCCTTTTCTTTTCTATGACTCTTCATAACACTTCTCTTGGAATTTTTTCATATGCTTTCTCTAATTCAATAAATATCATATGTAGTTCCTCCTTATTCTCTCTATACTTCTCCTTCAAACTTCCCAATAAATATATAACTTCTATAGTATACCTGCTCTACATGAATCCAAATTGATTTTGGAAAATATCAGTATCACGTCGTAATCTATGCTCAATAACTCTCTCCAATAGTTTTCAAGTTTGACACATCAAATTTATTTCTCTATAATTTGTACTTTTTTGTGCATAACCTTTATTTTTAAAAATATAAATCAATGCACTCTTTCTCCACTCATTTGACATATTTTTATTTTTCAAAATAATATTGAAAAGTTTCAAAAGCCAAGAAATTTTTTCATCTCCAAAGCATTTCCACACCTCTATTGGAATATCATCTGGTCCAACAGTTTTCTCACACTTCATTTTCTTTAAAATTTCTATTTACTTTGGTTTTATTAATACGCCGATAAAAATCAAAATCTCTATTTTCATTTAAGATGCTAATATTATTCTCACAATCTTCATTAAAAAGCTTATCAAAATATCTCATCCATCTTTGTTGAATATATTGTTTTAATAAAAGTACTTTTTAATCTTCATCCTTAATGCATTTTACTTAAACTAAATCCTTATTTCTCATATTTATTTACTTGGTTAACATATTCATATAGCTTTCGTTCTTCTTAGTATCTAATTTATTATATACAAAAAAATCTATTATATAAATAATTAAAAGTTAAATTCTGTGTATTGCATAATAGATAAAAATTGTGTTTGTGAAGCAGTTACGAAACATTATTTTTACATCTTTATTTCATAGTTTTGCTCTTTTCCTTCGTTTAGCCTCTATTCATATTTTTTCAGAAGGCAAGAAAAAACTGTTATGAAGCTGATTGTTGATTCCGAGACTGATAAAGTTCTTGGGGCATCAATGTGCGGTCCAGATGCACCTGAGATTTTGCAGGTATTTTCTTCGGACCTCTTCTTCATTGATTCTTATGGAGATTGAACATCCCTTTTGGAATCCATGAAGTTAATATTTTATTTCATTCATTTTCCACAATTTTAATAATGGATTAAGTTATTCATTTCTCAGTCATCCTTTTTATATTTTTGTTGTTGGACGGTATTTATCCTAAATGTTTTATAAGGATTTAGGGCACGGTAAATCTAATACAATCTTGATGATATTGTCTCATTTAAATACCTCAATGAATGGAGTGCTACATAATTTAGGCCGACCCCAAATGGCAGGATAAATTTAAGATGTTGATGTTGTGTGGGAATTCAAGGTGTAATTATTACTCAACATAATTTCTGTGTTTCTAATTATCTTCTTGAAGATTGAGTGCATTTTAATATCTTGTACATAAATATTTTAAGATAAATATTTAAAAGATCGTGACTAAGTTTGTTTGTTACTGTGTTGTGAAAGGCAATATTAGTTGTTGAGCTCTCGGCAAATTCCCTCAATGAAAATTAGTTAAAATAAAATTAATCTATCTCAAGAAAAGATGACTATAGAGTTTTCACATCACATCGAGGAGGCTTTAGGGATGGGGTTGAGTTTTTCTTAAAGTTCACCCAGAAATTAGATGTATGCTTCAACTCACTAGGTGCATAAACAATAGTCATAAAAAGTACTATTGAGAACTTTTTAAATTAAAGTGCATAAAAATGGAGCAAGAATTAATGCAAAAATTAAGAATATGGAGAGAACCAAAACTCCAGCCAGAAACAGCACGAATCATCTGTCCATTAGCATTAAAAGTTTACCATTTGTCACGTGCGATAGATCTGAGAATATGAGTGGTTGGGTTATTCATCTTAAGTTTCTTGAAGACTAAAAATGTCAAGGTGCTTCTGAACAATACTATACAGTACCGTTCATCTTTTGATTTTTGATCCAAGTCCTCTTAACATTTCATGTGCCTTTGGTTCGGTAATATAAAAATAATCACTTCAGGATGAATAAAGCCCCACAAAAATAACCACTTGAGAACAAACTGGAGTAGTTGTGCGGCCTTTTTCATCCCATCGATCTTATTTTTTGACCAAAATTCTTTTATTTATTTTATTAAAATTAATTATTTTTTTTATAATGTTAAGTTTGAATTTCAAGTTTGATGGGAATATACTAAATTTAAATTCAAATATTAGCGCTCTTATTTTTGGTATCCTATTTTTATAAATGAAGGTTTATGGCTTGTAATTGATTATTAGAGATATTGTGAGACGAAAGAAAATTGCAAGGCCAATGAAGGAGTCTCTAGATCTAATTTGTGTACAAATTTGTCCTCCCTCTTTCTCGTTTCTCCAAATTGTGTCGATGGAGTTTCCCTCTTCCCTTCCATAAGAGAGATAGAAAGAGAGTATGAGAGAGAGAGAGAGAGCGCATAACAAAATTTTTAATTTTGAGAGCAACATTTCAAAATGAAGCCCTCTCTTCTTATTTCATGCTTTTAGGAGAAAAAAACTCCTATTCCTCTTCCTCTCTTTGTATATATATAAAGAGAGAACTTTAAAAATTAATTTTTAGAGTACATTTTAAAATGAGTTCCTTTTCTTACTCTATACTTTTGAAGAGTAAAAAATCTCTCTCCCTCCGATGGAATATAAATTCAAGATTTCAGTTTATACTATGCATTTAAAGCAAACTACATGGTTCTGTGATCTTCGGCATCATATTTGAAATTTTGGATAATCATGTTCATTATTAGGGGCATATACTTGGATTTATTTTTTTTTTCCAACAGTTATTCTCTTCCATTAGATGATATTATGGCTTTCCAAGATTTTTTATTTGCTGCGAGTTCGTTTATGCTTGAATTTGTGTTCTTTAACATTATTTCATTTCTATCTTCAGGGTCTAGCTGTTGCTGTCAAAGCTGGAGCCACTAAAGCACAATTCGATAGCACTGTGAGCTGCTTCTCCTCTTTAACCCATTTCTAATTATTTTTATAACTCAAGAGAGGTTGCAAATCCCCTTATGCGTCCTAATCGATAGTCTTTGAGTTGGCTGCATTGCCAATGATACCATGGATTTTATCATTGCTAATAAATTCAGTTCCATACAATATTATGGGTTTTAGAAAATCTAACTCCGTAATATCATCTTATCACACTATTTCTGATACAATTCATTCTTATCCTTCAATCTTAACAGTGGAAGTTATGTTATCCTTTTATTATAATAAACCAAAAATGCTCAATTTTACCATTTATTTGGATCTAAGAATTTTTCCATATTGCTGCAGGTCGGTATCCATCCTTCAGCTGCAGAGGAGTTCGTCACAATGAGGACTTTGACTCGGCGTGTTGCTGCAGGGAAGCCAAAGACGAACTTGTAGAAGTTTTTTTTATTGCTGCAAACCTTCAAATTTATAGCTTACTGAATAAATGGTATCTGTTCTCAGAGCACTTCATTCCTGGAGTGTTCCTCCGATGCCTCACCTATTCACTAGAAACTTGTAATGATTGAACAAGGATAAATGCAAACTGTGAGTATTCTGTCTTAGATTATTTAATATTCCTGATGTATTGGTAGAATTCTTCTGTTTTATCATTAATTTTATTATGCTTTATGTTAAATTTATTCACTTCGTTGTAAGCTTACTTGTTGCCTGTTAGGTCGGTTCTCCCTCCCTGAACCGGCCTAACTGGCCCAATGGTCTGTTCTTTATTATAGGAACCGGCCTAACCGGCCCAAAGGCCTTTTCTCTCGAATTGAGGATCTATTGTATCTTGTTTGTTTCATCATTTATTTGATTTATATCAATCAAAAGATGCTGTTTTTGTTGAATTTTCCTATCCGAATCTTGTTTGTTTGCTGTTTTCTCTTTTGTTAGGGATTTGGATTATTTTCTTTGATGTTAGATGATAGGTTGAGCACAATTATAGAAAACTTGGAATTTTGGCAATTTTTTTGTTTTTGTTTTTGTTTTTGTCATGATGTTCAAATCTCAATTGGAGGGGTAGTAGTCAGATGAGCAACCACCTCCTTCATGCATGTCATGATGTTCAAATCTTACCTGAAGGGGTGGTGGCTAGATGAGCAACCGCCTCCTTCACGTCTGATTTGTCATCAATTGTGCATGAAGGAGGACTATTTGGTCAATTCTAGTTGGTCTTATAGGTCGGGTCTAGTTTAATTTGAATTGTATAAACTCATTCGGCTTCGAGTCACATATCATATTGGTGTTGATATGTTCATCTTCATTCAGCTTCGAATCATATATCATATGGATGTTGATATGTTCACCTTGATGAGGATTTTTTAACCGGAATTTTTTTGAATAAATCTAAATATTCTTGAATAATCTTAGGATTCATGCATCATATTTAAAATTGTTTAATTTCATAGAATTTTTTGCTTTCACATTAATATATGTTTCTATTAAGATCAACATTTATTTTCTATGTTCTTGCAAGGATGTCAAATGCTTTTTACATAAACATAAGAGGCTTTATCTTGATGTATTTGATCTAATATGTTTTGTTAGATGTTTGAATGTTCAAGTAAGAACTCTGTTTCCTTAGATTGCAACTTGTGAGTATTAATGTTTTTTTATATAAAGCAGAAAGAAAAAAGTGCTGGAAAAATCTGGGCCATGATCTCTGCTTCTAATTTCTCGAAATTATAATAAAATTTCTCTTTCATCATTCTCTGCTCTGTTTAATAGACTACAATAGATCAATATTCTAGGAATATATTTGAAATTTACATTATTCCAAATTCTAACAAAATGGAGTTGGGATATTAATTATGTTTATTTTAAAATAATTAACAAATAATCACTAAAATGGTAAGTATCAACAACATTGATTTTATTTTCTTTTTATTTTTGATATTAAAAAGTATTAAATGGTCAATACAAAATAGAGCCCTGCATTGGGTATTTATATCACACCCATGTCCACCCATGTCCCCACCAATAATACTCAATGGATATGGCTACGTTCATGTCCTCGTGGGTGGATACTTAATACTGGGGGATAAATCGATATATATTGTTAATCACCATGTCTTATATTACATAATCTTCACTATGTAGTGTGCAGCATTGAATCGAGCTGAGATCACAGTAAATTATAATATGCGGCTTGAAACTTTGCAATCATAGCAAAGTGCAATAAGCCTCAATGCTATTAGTATTTGGCAGATTGCGTTCAAAAAGCATGAAAAAGTGGGCGGATATAGGTGAGTATGACATTTCAAAAGTCATCATGGGTCGATGAAAGCCTGTCCGTGCATAGCATGGGCACTCGTACCCAATGGGTATCCAATAATACCCAATGAAGATCCCATGTAAGATTTTGATATAGGAAATTCTCAAGCTTAATTTAGAAAAATAAACAACTGTAGGATAAAGAGTAACTTATATATTGTACAGTTAATATGAGAAATTCTAAGGTTTATAAGAGAAATATTCATAAATTAAAATAATAAAATCACCATGAATTTTTCAATTTGCTGAATAAACAAATTCACCACATTCATTATGAGTAGCATAAGCGGGTTTTGGTTTTTAAAACCCTAAAGCTGTACAATTACTCAATCAGAATCAAATAAATATTTTTTATAAAAACTTAAACAAGACTTTACATTCTGAACTATCATCAATCCTACCAAGCTCATAATGAGAGAACAGATAGGAAGAACCATGACAATTTTCATAGCTTGGAATGGTGACATACAAATCTAAACTTATTTTTTATATCTGAAACTTATCAAATTCAGAATCCAATGCTCTAATTCCATCCGACAATACCAGTGGACTTGAACTTTCAGCCAGAGGTCTTGCAGAAAATACTGGAACAGCAGTTCTGATTGTTACTGGCGCCGCCATTGACAGAGCTTGATTTGGTTTAACTCTAGACCTCGATGAACAGCCCAGCGATGGAGGTCGGCTTGCTCCTCCCCGACGGGGTTGAATGTAGTCGAACCGGGGACGATATAGAGGATGATCTCGAGGGATAAGCTTGCAACTTTTCATGTTTGGCGAATAACCGGGCCTCATCGAAGCTTTCGATCCCCAACCAAATGGTTTTTTCCTGTGACTTCTTTCTGACTGTAGGTCGGTCTGTTGTTCGATACTGACTGCTACATCTTCTTCCTCTAATTCACCACCATTTTGATCCAAAGATCTTGAACTGTCATCTACAGCATCAGGAATTGGATTATACAACCGTTCATTTTCTTCCCCTTGGCTTTTCTCATCATTGATCTCCTGAATTTTTACTTGAGATTGAGTTCTGGGTGGAACAGGTAAAGAATAATCATAATCTAGAAAATAAACGGGAAGAAGTTGAGTTGGTTCTGGGAAGCATGGTAATGTGGTAATAGGCTCTTGACTCAATACAGGAAAGAGCTGGATTTGTGCTGGATGGAACATGGATCTGTGGAATGGGCGCCACATTTGGTAAATTGCAGCTTCAGTTGAGAAACTGCGGTGCGCCCAGCTTTGAAACGGCATGTAGTAAGATGGATTGGTAGATGAGCCAAGCTCTCGTCGGGTTGTATTCAACCTTCGCCAACCATGTTGTCGATCATTATGAGTATATTTGTTTCCTTGTGAGGACCGATGCAAGCTCGTGAGAGCACGAGCAATCACAGCCTGTTCTTGCTCATCATTTATGTTGATTTCGGTAATGCCAGAAGATGTTGATGATGATGATGGTGACGATGACGACAAAGCTATAGATGATGATGATGAAGAAGAAGACGAGAAATCCAAATTGGGCACTGCATGATAGGATGAAATGTTCAGTATGATGAAGTCTTCAGTTATTTAGCAGATGTAGAAGTAGAAACATTCAAACGAAGGATCATATAACTTTCTTTTTCTTAACCCTAGCAAAGCCTCAAATCTTATGTTTAATTTCTTACATGTGAAGGAAAACATTAAGAGGACATTTTGAAGTATTTCTGAGTACTCATTATAAATAAAGATGCAAGTATCAACCAAACATAACCAACTAACAAAAATGAAAAAAATCATGAAAAAAACAACTATACATATCCCAAATCATTAGCAATGAATAATCCATCATAAATTTATCACCAGTTGTGGGATGAGGATTGTGCATTCAAATTCAACTATTATTAAGGGGCTATTTGGTTTTCTGAAAAAAAAAAAAAAGTGGAGTAAAAGGAGTAAAAGAAATGTAGTATTTGAAATGTTTAAAATTATTTGGTTAGGTACAAAAGATTAACTTTTTGTATTTGGTTTGAAAATAAAATGAATTTATTGAAGCTTGGCAGTGGTGGTTAGAGACGTCTAGTGCGTGGCGGCAACAACAACTAGTAGCTAGCAGTGAGGACAAACGGTAGCTGGTTGGCGGGCGGCAGCTGGTGGTAGGAGCAAGTGGCTAGCAGTGATGGTGGCAATAGATGGCGGCCACATTAGGTGAAGCTTCACACTTACAATGTATTTGGAATTCAGCTCCAAAATGAATTCCACATATTCAAAAGTTTACATCGAATTTCTTTTTCATACAAACCAAACAGCTTAAAATCATGTATAGATGGAATGCTTTGTACCCAAAATTCATCAAACCAAATAACCCCTAAATTAATATAAGAAAAACAATAGCCTAATGAACAAGTGTCAACAGAATGAGAAATAAATGATGGGCCAAAAATTTTAAGGAAAAAATATAAAGGAAAGAATAAGGAAAAGTGAAATAAATTACATGAAGCATCAATTGTTCCCAAGTATTCTTATCCTTAAGAAAAACATATTTCATTATTTTGCTTGTTTCATGTTCCAAATGAATCTTAAAAAGGAAATTTCTAGGTGCTTACAGCAGTTCTTAGGGACAAAGAAGTTGATCATATGATAGCCTATTTGTCATGCATTTCTAATCAAAGAATCTTGTTCTCGCTAATTGCAATCAAGAAAAAATTACCGAGATCCCACTATGCTTTGTAACTCTACCACCTTAGACGTCTAGATTGGAGATGTATAGAAGTATATGCTCACATTGCTTCAATGCACTCCAGGCAGCCATGGCAGCATTTTTCTGAGCCTGCTTCTTGGTTTTGGCAGGCTCCCCACTGAAGCTCATACCAGCCAGTTCAACAGAACATGAGAAGATTGGTGTATGGCCAGGGCCAGATCTAACTGTGGTATAAACAGGCAACTTCATACCAGCTCTATGAGCCGTTTCTTGAAGCAAATTCTTGTAAACACCAGTTTCATCCTGCAAGTGGAATCATTAACTTACTATCAGATCAATTTATCATAAAAAAGGCCTTGACATTTCAGAAGGTATTAACATTTATTTCATGCAGGGAAAACCTTTTTCTGGTTGAACTTCTCAAAGAGTCTAATTATTGCTCAAAACCTCTTTAGCTAAAAAAAATCAGTTAATTATGCCTTCATGATGATGAAGCATAGAAAACTAAACTTGTAGGCATTTCAACATTTTCACATTTAAAGCAAAACCAAAAGGTTTTAAAGATGAAACATATCTTACTTGGGCTCAACTCTTCATTCAAGACAGTATGGTTTTTGTGGGTAAATAATAGTAATTTTCCAAATATTTTACTTTAGAGTTATGTATATAAAATTCCTAATATAATAAAGTAAATAAAGAAAAACTAATTCTTAAATTTAATAACAATGAAGCATAGTACAGGAAGTACCAGAACTTTTGCAGCTAAGGATCGAGAAGGTCCCCTCTTTGAGAGTGTATCTAAAGCTACTTCAGCTGCAGCATGCTCTGCCTGTCTTAGTGTTGTGCAGCAGAACATGAGAAGATTGGTGTATGGCCAGGGCCAGATCTAACTGTGGCATAAACAGGCAACTTCATACCAGCTCTATGGGCTGTTTCTTGAAGCAGGTTCTTGTAAACACCAGTTTCATCCTGCAAGTGGAATCACTAACTTACTATCAGATCAAATTAGCATAAAAAAGGCCATGACATTTCAGAAGGTATTAGCATTTATTTCATGCAGGGAAAACCATTTCTGGTTGAACTTCTCAAAGAGTCTAATTTACCTCTTTAGCTAAAGAATGGAAAATTAAAAAAAAAAACAATTTATTTTGTTAAGAAAGGCAGCAACGCTAGAGATTTACTGCATGCTTATCATGCTTCCTGCAATTGAAAATCTCATATAGATTTGCTCCCTACTTCCTCAAGAAGTCATCATCAGCAACCCAACTTTTTGTCTCAGTGAAATAAGTTTTTTTTCCAAATTTACGAATCAACACAAGAAAAGAAAAGAATAGGTGAACAGTATAAAGCTTGCCAGTTGAAACCTGAAGCATCGTTGTCCAAAAAAATCAGTTAATTATGCCTTCATGATGATGAAGCATAGAAAACTAAACTTGTAGGCATTTCTACATTTTCACATTTAAAGCAAAACCAAAAGGTTTTAAAGATGAAGCATATCTTACTTCGGTTCAACTCTTCATTCAAGACAGTATGGTTTTTGTGGGTAAATAATAGTAATTTTCCAAATATTTTACTTGAGAGTTATGTATACACCAAAATGGTTACAGAAGTGGTCTATTTACAAGTCGCCTTTAAGCAAATACTAATATCATTTTAAGTAGTGCTAACAAATTGATACCCGAGCGTGGTTGCGTACCCCTAACTCACATTTGATTTCTCTCTCCAGCAGCGCGACTCCTTAAGTGATGAGAAAATAAGTGCGTGGTCCGGCACTTGTGAGGTTTGTTGCCACTAGACCCGTCGAGAAATTAGTTACTCCATCAAACGCCTCCTCTACGGGAGTGACAGCAGGTAGATACCTTCGTTCCAAAAAAAAAAAAAAACCAAATTGATACCTTATTTAAATTTTAAAAAACCATTTTCCTCATTTCACCTACTAAATCCATTTGCACTTCTAAGTAGGAGCCGTTATGTCATCCTGTCATCAGCTAGCAGTCTGGCAAGTGTCTTGCAGCTCTAAAGGTGGCTCTAACCAATTTCATACGCATGGATGAATTCTACGATGGATAATACAGCTGCTAGCATTGCTACAACAGCTAAAGGAGATTCGTTTTGTTTAGAAAGGATAAATGGCGAAAGGAACCGTCTTCAAAATAGGAACCCCCCTCAGTTGTTTAGTTCACTGGCATTCATAGCAAAACTGATCATGAACATTAATGGCACAAATTATGAAGATGACCAACCTCATTTATATTAATTGGCAACTTCTTAAAAAGTTTTACCAATTGAAAAGAAATATACAATAAGGTTCTGCAGTAGAAGACGACTGCCTTTCTGTTCAAGTTCATCTATGTCAATAACATGCAATATAAACTCATTTTGTGAAAGATAATGCATTTCATATTATCAATGAAAAAAAAAACTAGTCCAGCAATCCTTCTACTTCATTTATAAGAAGCAAATCGCAATTTGTCTAACAGAAGCCACAAAAATTATCAGAGCAAATTTTTTTTCAAAAAAATCCTAATATAATACAATAAATAAAGAAAACCTACTTTTGAAATTGAATAACAAGGAAGCATAGTACAGGAAGTACCATAACTTTTGCAGCTAAGGATCGAGAAGGTCCCCTCTTTGAGAGTGTATCTAAAGCTACTTCAGCTGCAGCATGCTCTGCCTGTCTTAGTGTTGTGCAGAAAGTAGGACTTTCAAATGCCTCGCCATTAAAATTAACTGTTGCTTTGAACCTCGGGGCATGATCCGGCCCTTCTCGAATGCAAGCATAAGAGGGTAAGTTGAAACAACTCCTTTGAGCTAATTCCTGCAACTGGTTCTTATACATGCCTACATATGCAAAACATAAACACCCACAGCCATATCATACTTCAAGTTTTCATAATATTAAGTCCTGAAAGCAGCCTCAAGACCTTTACAATTTTCACATTTTATAATGAAATTCACAATCACTTCAAGCAAATTAAATGGTAATACAATTATCAACGAAACCTAACTTAATAGGAAAGGTCAAGAACAATCAAATCTTGCAAAAGGGAAATGGACCTAAAATGCCAATAATCTTCTACGAAATAGTTCTTCTAAACCATTCAGCGAAAAAAGGGATAAATTGCAACCGAATGTCAACACATAACCTAGTGATGAATGATTGAACATCGATTTCCCAATATGTAAACAATTAGCAAGGAAAGGAGACCAAAATGCTCAGCTCAAACCACGCATAAATCGATCTGAAACCACTTTCTCCACTTCAAACAGAAATCAAAACTGCGATTGGTCTGCCAAAACAACTCGATCAAGGACGAGTCCTTCGAAATGAAAAGAAACAAAGGCTGATTATTAAACTGGGTACAAAACGCGAACATCACAGGAATATAATCAACGCAAGAAAGTATCAGATCGGAAATGCAAATCGGTAAAACAGATTCAAACAAGTGGAAAATAAGGACTAGAAAAGGGGAAGGCAGCCCTCACCGGAGCTCCAAGCAAGCTTTCAGTCCTCCACCAGCAACAAAAAGGACGGAAAGAAAGGGGGTAATAACTAATAACCTGATTTTGGTATATTTTTATTATTTAATAATTATTTATGCTATTTTTATTAATTTTGCTTTAAGAAAAATCTGAATTTTTATTAAAGAAATCATTATCATGACATCCAAAATCTTAATTATTTACAAAAAATAATACTCTCATATATCTATTTTTAAAAATATCACCTAAACCCATATTTTTTTAATTTTTTAATTCTTAATGATTTAAGCATGACATGCATAAATTCATAAATTTGTTAATTCTATAAAATAATGCAATTTTTATTTGATAAATCAATTAGTTTTAAGTGTTATATATGTTATTTCTCCAAATTTTAAATAACAATTATATTTTTTTTCTCAAATTTAATAAAAAATTAAAAAAGTTGCTTTAATAAGCAGTAAGAAAGTCGTCTCAAATGAAGCCTAACGGCTTTTTAACTAGTTCTTAGAACAACTTCTCAGTCAAAAAAATTTATTTGTAATAAAAAACCGTTTTAAAAAATAATAAAAAAGTCGTTCCGAACAAAACCTAAATTTTTCTTCTATTTATTTATTTTACTTTTATATCAAAGAAACATTCCCAAAATAAGTCACACCATCCTCTCTTAATTAGTTTCATTCAACATATGCTTAGACAATACAAGTGATGATACTTGCTCAACACTTACACATATACATAGAGTTAGTAAATATCTAATTTTTAAAAAGTCACATATCACACTCTACTCTAAAGCTATAGAACATTCTAGAACACACCATGAAGATTATAGAACATTATAGAACACGCCACTAAGACTATAGAACATTCTAGAACACACCACTAAGACTACTAAGACTAAGAGTTATTTGGTAACAAAGGAGGATACATCCTTATTCAAAAGCTACATAACTTCTACATCCACCATTGAAATGCGAACGAAGAACTTTTATTACATCCAGTGAACGTACGCTCATCTACGTTCGGTTTAGGCAAAAAAGCGCATGTACCGAGTTTTTTGAAGAAATTCGGTACAACTCGGTACATGCACTTTTTTTGCCTAAATCGAACGTAAAGAAGCGTACGTTCACTGGATAAAATAAAAGTTCTTGAAATGCTACGATTTACAACATAAACCTTCCACCATACTTCTTAGCTGCTTCGGTACTATCTATGTTCTCCGAGCCCATTGCCTTCTTCATCGCCGGAAAGGCAGCTTGGCCTGAACCCCGACCAAACATGCTGCCACGCCCGGCGGGGACCGCCGGAGATCGTCTGATATTATTAGCTGAAGTATATGCGTTCGTAACAGGCGCCGGCTCAAGCGGTTGATTCGGTGGCAAAGTCCAACCGGTCGGGCTGGGCCGGACCCAACCACCTTCAGAGATCACAGTCGGGTCGGGCCAAGCAATATTCTTGTCACCTCTTTGGAACATGGAGCTCGGAAAGCCAAACCTTCGCCCGCCATCGTTGACGGTGGAGTGTTCATGCGAGCTGGCCGGTTTTTTAACGGGCTCAAGTTCGGGCTTCTGCTGCCCGACCTGGCCCGTGGCCGGCGGGCAATGGGTTTGGGCTTGGAACCGGAAGCCCATCTTTTTTTCAGACATGGATGAGAGCTAGTTGAGGAGAAGAAGGCTGTGAGTGAAGAGAGCCTCTGCCTCTATTTATAGGCGCCATGGCTGTGTCTTCTTTTGGATAACTATTCATTTCTAAGAATAAAATTTTACTTCTATTGATATTAAAAATTAGTTAGCAATGAGATAATATAAATAATAAGATATTATTAAATGTTAGATGATGGAATATTTGTACCCATAAAAAGAGATTTTATTCTCTTTGCATTTATTCTAAAAAAATAGTAGCTTTGAACAAAGATCTAACGCAACAATAATTATCATTATCTGTGTTAACATGAGGAAGGAAAGTTGATTGTCATGTTCATTATTATATTTGTAATGAGGGATAATTGGTTTGATCATTATATTGATAATAGAGGGATCGAGCGATCTATAAGATGGGTGCCAAACATTGATAGCATAATAGGGTGATAGCAGGGGTGTCAAAATTTGAGCCGACCTGAAACATGACCCGACCCCAACCTGGAAAATTTTGGGTTCGGGTCAACCCATTTGACATACGGGTTGGGTTTGGCTTTGAAATTTTGACCTGTTTATTAATCGAGTCGGGTTCGGATTGACCCGGTAACATGAAAGCAACCTGATTTAACCCGCCTCATGTCCGCTTAGGGTGTCCGACAAACCTGCATTGTCTCGTGTATGCTAGTCTGGAAGTTGGACCAAGCTCCCTCCCAGAACGATCCGTCTTGGCAGTAGCGTCTCCCGCGTCGAATTGCAAATCTTCGGCAACCATGGTGAGAAACTCCGGAGGCAAGGCGAGGAAAAATGGCATCAGAGGGATGGTGTTCTCCGACAAACCCGCGATCGTTGCTATCTCTATCGGCGTCCTCAAGGAGGGGATAAATGGCGCCGGCGGGCTAGTGTTCTCGTCCTTCCTTCCGAAGGCAAAGTGAGGCACCATTAAGCGACGTTGCTGTCGAGGGCCTCCAAGTTCTTAGCATCTCCATTTCGACGTTTTAGCTTATATTTACAAACATGTTGTGGGTCGGGTCAGGTCAACCCGAAAACTCGCGCGGGTCGGATTCGAGTTGGATATCCTTACATGTTTTTAAATATATTCTTTAGATCCGGGTCAACTCGGGTTTAACCTGAACCTAACCATAAACCATTTTTGACACCCCTAATGATATTATTAGTTTTCAGGTCGTGTTTGAGTCATTATTAGGTCATGATGGACAATTAGTTTGATCATTCTATTGATAAGACTGGGATCAAACAATCAATAAGACTGGTGTCAGATATTGATGACTAATAAGTAGTAAAAGTTGGTCGATATTAGATGTATTGACTGGAAACAATAGAAGTCAAGCGATGATCAACAGTATTATTCTGCTAATTATGTAACATGAAGAATCGAAAGATTGATCATTGTAGAAGAATAAAGAATATATTTGGTAGAACAAGCATCTATGACAACAAAGCATATCGCATTATTGGAAGCTTGAGTGTTGGGGTGAGGCACCTAGTTGAGTTAATAGGATGGAATCCAACTTTTGTATGGGGAAGTTATCTTCATTCAGTGTACCTTCCAAATGTTCTTCCTTTTCCTGAGAATTTTAAGCTAAAAAGAATCATTCTTTTGAAAGTTTCTTCTGCACTCTACAAGAAAGATGAAGGGCAGAATTCCACCTTTTCATGGCTTGGTGTCATGTTCTTCTCCACATATGTGGGGATAATATTTGTAATTTATATCTTCCGTGTTGGATTACAATCTATTTTTGATAAAAATAGATTAATTGTTGCATCAACATAATGGGAAATAATAAATTTGAGAAACTATGCAAAAATAAAAAAATTATGGTTGAAATATAAAATATAATAAATTAAAAAATAGGCAAAATATTATGTGATCTCATGAGATGATACGAAAAAAGATAAAATTGCATAATTTAGATCAAAGAGGACAATATATTGCTAGTAAGATATAAGGCATTGGTATGATCTTCTTATTTTTAATGAATTAACTTAAAATTTATGATTAATAAGCTAGTAAAAATATTTTTTTAATTAAAATAGGTTATCAGATCATGTTCGGGTTGCTAGCTGGTCAGGTTCAAGTTCAATTTTGTAACATGCTTATTAAATGGGTTGGATTCACATATATTGTATTTGAGTCCGATCAACTTCAAGTCGAATACAAATTCGACTCGTTTTGACACTCCTGCTAGTTAGTGATGGTGTTAACTAGAGTGAATAATACCTTACATGATATAACTTACAGTGTCACATCTAACACATTAATTTTATCTCTTCTTCCGGGAATATTTCAATGTACAAGCAACATAATAATACATTATGAAAATGAATTTATTAATTGATTGAACTTATGATGACTCAAAAAAATTATCATATTTAATATAAAACTTGTGAGAAATTTGATTTGGCTTTCTATAACATACATGAATTTGAATTTTCAAAAAAAAAAAAACATGAAAAATATGCATAAAATATTGAGTGGTGATCAGTATTTTTCCTTTTGATTTTTTGAAGTAAAGATGTCAACATGTTGATCTTGTAAGACTATATGGTGAATTGTAATGTTATTGGATTTAATAATGTCTCAAATGAAGCAATAGTTTATCTCAATGTTATTGGAAATAAGGGTTTTACCATCATGACTCGGCTCTATAAAAAACGTAATATATTTGGATAAGTGCAAAACAAATGCATGTGATCTCTTTTTGTATATCGTAAGTAAAATGAATGCTTTGTAAAGCCCAATGATTGCGGTAGCCTTTGACCAGAAGGGAGGGGCGGGTTATTGGGGGCGTCAATGATGGATCCAGCTTGTGATAAAAAAAATATTGAAATGTGTGAACTTATAATAATAAAAAATAAATGACAGAGCGAAATATGAATTCACTAAAATGTTACTTTGCATTTTCTTTTCGTCAAACTAAACAATAAAATTTTCAAATCCATTGCATTTACATTAATTTACATTTCTTTTTCATCAAATCAAAGAACTCTTTAATTTTATCAACGTTCCACTTTTATTAACATATTTAAGATTGATAACCCTTTGTTTATTTTATAGTTTTTAATTGGAGGCCAAACTCTAATTTGAAATATCTTTAATTGGAGTCTTCCAACAAAATCCAATCTCTTTAAGTTCACCATATAAGGATTTAATTCTTTCTAAATTTTTTTGCAAATTTATTAAAAAGGTTTCCTCTAATTATTTATTTCATGGTGATGCAAATGCTAGAAAAAATTATATTATTGCTTAGAAAAATGTGTGTGTCAGCCTAAGCGTTTTGGGATCTGAGTATTCAACTTAGTATACCATGCTTTCAATTGTTCTCTTATATCAGTCAATGCATGTTGTCTATTTGGGTTGAACACAAATTTAGCTCACTTTGGAGACCTCCTCAAAAAGCTTATACTTTTTGAAAATTTATATGTTCTATTGCAAGGAGTATAAAAAAACATGATCTCTTTCATTATTAATTACAATAGCTCTCTCTCTCTTTTTTGGGATCTTTTGTAACATCCCAAACTCATAGCTAGCGATGTATTGTCCACTTTGGCCTAAAGGCCTTACAGTTTTGTACTGTTTGTGTAACTTCTTATAAAGTCACTCATCCTAGGATTTCTCTGGGATGAGCCCCCCTTAAGTGTGGAGTTTTTTAAATAAAATTCCAACAATTACATCAAAATACGTCTCGATATTTTAGAATTGAGCTTCTTTTTTTACTTTAGAGGTTTCACATCCTCGGAGTAGAAAATGGCTTTACATAAAATGCTTGATCCCAATGTCTGCTGTTCTCTTCAATCTACCTTTGAGGGTGATTTGATAACATCAGGTTCTTGGAATCTACTATATACTTTTTCATCCTCTGTTTTCTTGGTCATCTCTATTATTTACACTTTCAATCAATCTCACTCATGTATTACTTAGGGTGGCGTACTTCTACCGCCTTTTAAAAGTTTCCATGTTGATTTTTATGACGGTTTAACTCAGGCTGAATGATGCTCTTTTATCTAACATAAGAGATTTGCTATGCGTTTTTCTTATTATGTCTGGTCAGCTTTGGTGAAAGGCTTAAAAACTGCAAACATTCTTTCCAAACGGAATTTAAATGTACCTCTTCCATGTGTTTTATGTTCAAATGGTGAGAAGAATCATAATCACCTAATCTTTGAGTGTGACCTCTCCTTCTCCATTATATCTTCTTTGGTACCTAGTTTACACCACTTTATTCTTAGGCCTGTATTTCTCCAAGTTTTAGATTTTATTTATGCATCAAATATGAAGAAAGATTCAAAAAATTTATTTTCATTAGGGCATTATGGATTATGTCTTATGCTACGAGTTCTTGTATTTTTTTCTATGTAATTTTTTCATTGATTAATAAAAAATTGGGCATGATTGTCCCTAATTTTTCAAAAAAAATAATCTTTATATTAAATTTAGAAATTCTTTATAAGTAATTTTTTATTATTTTAAAAAATACTGAATATCAAGACAAATTTAATATAAACATAATTCTTGACCTTTAAAATAAACTTCAGAAACACCCACATAAATTTAAGATTTTTGATGGCTATGGCCTGAAAAACATGGAAGAAGAGGCGGCTCCTCTTCCCGAACCATCGTTGTTCTCATCCGACGACGGGGAAGAGAATTCTGAGCCTTCCAGCAGCAAAGATGGGGAATTGAGGAGGAAGGAGGAAGATGAACGCAGTCGGTGGCGAGGGCAGCGTAGGGCCATGTGCTGGAGTGGCTGCGGGCGGCCGAATATCACGTGCATCTGCCCTTTCCTCCCCTCTTCTCCAATTCCCACCTCCACTCATCTCATCGTCCTCCACCACCCCCACGAGCTCCGCGCAAACAAGCTCGCCACACTTCCCGCCCTCTGTCGCTCACTAATCCGCTGCTACGCCGTCCCCGGCCGTCGCATTCGACCCGGTTCTTCTCCGCTCCTCGACTGCCTCTCTACCTCCCCCTCATCCCCTGTCCTCTTTCTCTTCCCCACCTTCGACTCCTCCAAACCCGCACTCGACCTCGAACGCTGGGCTGCCGATACGCCACCCGATTCTCGCGCCGAGCCCATCCTGATAGTATTTGACGCAACTTGGAGGCACGCCAAGGAGATGGCCACCGCCAGCATCCCCTTCCTCTCGCGCTTTGCCGTGCAGGTTCAGATCGGCAGTGGTTGCGACACGAGATCGGAGGGCCCGAGCACTTTCGAGTCCGGCCTTGTATTGAGGAAGGAGCCGTGGAAGGGTTGCTTAAGCACCATCGAGGCCGTTGCGAGGGCCCTCCGTGTGCTGGAGCCCGAGGGCAAAGGAGTGGAGATCGAGGGGATGCTGCTTGCTATTCTCAGGGCCATGGTTGCCTTCCAGGCATGCCACTTAAAGATGGTGAATCCCCGGCCTAGGCTGAAGAAAAAAGGTAAGGGACTTGGTTCGTGCCCACCAACTGTTTGATCGGATGCCTACAAATGATAATGCATTCGTTTTGAGCCTGATGGAAGACCAGAAGTCAACAATTTAGTACGTGCCTACAATGATTGCTGCAACAGTTTTTTTTTTGTTCTGCACATTCGTTCTCATAGATTTGTTAGTTGATTCATTGCCATAATCTTATCACACACAAATTTCTGATTTTTTTTTTTTTTTGTGATCTATATAAATCATGCAATTTAGGCATTTTTTTTTTTTCAAATATACGCATAGAACATCATTCCTAATGAAGGCTATATTTTATGTGTATTGTAAAAGTATTTGGATGGCTTAGCTCAAGGAAAACCAACCCGGAGTGCTAAGAAATTCCATTTCATGTGAAAATGTAAAAAATGAGTCAAGTTTGAATCAATCACATTGGGTCATTCTAGACCGTTAGACCGTTGCACTTCCTATTGCATCTATGATTGCCTTAGCATAGTGCATAACTTTGATGTCCAATGGTGATGATGATTGCCTACATCGCCATTCGCTTAACTTAATTGGTGTTAATCTTCGTTGACCTAGAACCCTAGATCCTAGCGTGATATAACCCACCACCACCCAAGGGGCTTAGGAACGTTGGTTTTGGACATCTGAGATCATCTATGTGAGAGTCGTAGGTGTGAAATACCCCTAGAGGCAACATTCTTGTTTTGCTTAACTTGCGACTCACATATTGGTCCTAAAATTGGCAGAGACATGAACACAAGATTGCTAATTCTAGGAAGGCATGAGTTGGATTTTAGATGTCTCAGGCCCAGTGTCTCCATTAGCTTTGGCCAATAGTCATGCTAGATAAATTTCATAATCTTATTTGATTATTTGTGATAGAAGCTCACTATTTACATAAGAGATTGTTCACCACTTTGGATTACCTATTATTGCTATTGTGGATTATTTGGGGACTTTTAGGATCAATAAAGATCGTTCCGATGTTGGCTCTTAATGTGAGTATATTGGAAAGCACTCTCATTCCATTTTATTTACTAAATTGGATTTCAATCTTCATATATCAACTCATTGCTTCTCTTTATGTGTTGATCATCATCCCAAATTTGTAGTTATGAGTTAATGCCATGGATGTCTAATCAAGAAAAATTGTACATTAGTTAAACGCTACTTGTATATACTCATCAAATCCTAATGGTGTTACATATAGCTCTCATATCAGAGGTGAATATCCAATATACCATAATTTCCTATAGGGCACATTAGCCAATTAGCCCTTTATCATTTCTATGGACATGCAGAAGATAATATAACCAAAAATTCATGGAGTTAAATTGTTTGTGGTATTGAAATTGGGACAAAAATGATAGAGTACTTGCCTTGATATTTTGAATTCAAAAACTATTAAATGTAGCTTGTTTATGATGTGAATAGTTGTATGATTATCTCTCAATATGATTTTTGAACATTGTGTTAGAATAACAAGCCTCCAATTATGGCTAGTAAGAGGCCATTTTTACTTTATGCAGTCCTATTGAGTAATATTAATAATGAAGACTCATGAATTATTCTTTTCTTTTGAAAATACATGGACAAGACTTGGTCAAAATAGTCCTTGGCATTATTAAATTATAACTTTTTAATCGTTATCCTAACCTAATGCTAGGTCATATTATGAAAAGTAGGAAATACATTACCAATATTAAATTTCGTTCTAAGTAGAAAAATCCAAAAAAATTTAGTGCAACTGTCAATAAAAGAAACAAACCACCTGATGCATGTTATATTAGGAATTGTAGAGAAACACCATATGTGAATGTATATATTTTTTCATTATAAGCTGGGAAAGATCCATATTTGTGCTTAAGAAATTTGCAAACATCAATATGGAAGGTTCTTACGTCAATTCCTTTAAAAAGGAAACAAGGCTTTAAAAATTCCAAATGACAATTGACCAACACAATGATGATAAAGCCAAATGATGTTTATATTTGAGTAGGAAAGGACAGATAAATGTAGATCATTCTTTACACTCTTTACATTTTCCTTAGCAAGTTTAATTTTCTTCCTGGTTTCTAGACCTTGATTCCTATTTTTAAGAATAGATATGATGCACAAGATTGTGTGAATTATAGAGGAATTAAGTTAATGGGTCATACTTTAAAACTATGGGAGAGAGTTATGGAGTATAGGTTCCGGCATGACACTAATGTTTCTCAAAATCAATTTGGATTCATGCTAGGTAGGCCTACTATGGAAGCTATACATTTATTGAGAGGTTTGATGGAGAAGTATAGAGAGAATAAGGAGGATCTACATATGCTTTTTATTGATTTAAAGAAAGCATATGATAAAATTCCAAGAAAAGTTCTATGGAGAGTTATACATAAGAAAGGGGTTAATAATGCTTATATTCAAGTCATTAAGGATATGTATGCAAGGTTTGTTACTTGTGTTCAAACAAAAGGTGATTTAACCAAGTATTTTCCTATTTCAGTTGGATTACATCAAGGATTAGTCTTAAGGCTATATCTTTTTTGCTTTAGTCATGGATGTTCTCACTAGACGTTTGCAAGAGGTTGTACCCTGGTGTATGCTTTTTGTTGATGCTATTCTTCTTGATAAGACTAGAGAGGGAGTTGAAGTTAAACTTGAATTATGGAGGTCAACCTTAGAATCTAAAGACTTTCGTTTGAGTTGATCTAAACCTAAATATATGGAGTGTAATTTTAGTATTAATAGATCTAGTAGGGGGATTATAACTTTGGGCGATCAAGTCATTAATGAGAGTGCACATTTTACTATTTAAGATATCTTTGATCTATTGTTCAAAGTGATGGTGAAATAGATTGAGATATTATTAATAGAATTCAAGTTGGATGATTGAAGTGGAGGAATGCATCAGGCTTGTTATGTGATAGAAAAATCCCTCTCAAACTTAAGGGAAAATTCTATAAGATGGTGGTTAGACTTGCAATGCTTTATGATGCAGAATGTTGGCCA